AGCTCTAGCCAACCATGTAGTCCAGTAGGTAATTTTAATTCCAGTTTCAATCAAAACCCTCTGCTTGAAAGCTTTTAATTTCCAACTTGGATCAGCGTTCTAGTGCTCTAGGTACTTATCTCCTAAGTACTCTGCATTCATCTTGCTATTTGTATTAGTTCTTACACAAGTGTGGTTTAACCTCATAGATCTAATGACAACAGTACTTAAAGTAAACCTCAACCCCACCTTCAATTTAATTGGTTTGCTAAAATCAGTGAGAGCATTAAATGTTGTATATGGTTCCTCTTCTGAATATGAACCATGTAAACTCCTTAGCTTTTCAGAATCAACATCTTCTTCTTCTCAGCCCTGCTCTGATCTGGTACCCCATCTCCGCTCATCCCACCAGCTAAACTGCATTCTGCCTTTTTCAATATTCCATCCCCACCTTTGCTTACAAAAAAAAAAAAAAAAAAAAAAAAAAAAATTAACATTCAAATCACACTCTTCCTCCCCAAGATTCCAATCAACATCTAAATCACTTGCCTCAAAACTAGATGAACCAGACACTAGGCAAAAATATGAATTGGCCACCGGTTCAAAATCCCCCAAGGCCACCGGTTTTGAACCGGTGGTCATTTGGGGGGTGGCAATAAACCGAAGCAAGGCCACCGATTCAAAACCGGTGGCAAAAAGGCTTATTGCCACCGGTTAACCGGTGGCAACCGGTGGCAATAACACTCCCCGCATTTTATTTTTTTTGGTATTAATAAGTATTGCCACCGGTTTTTTGGTGGAACCGGTGGCAATAATGCCCAAAAAATATATTTTTTTTTTCATTTTTTTCACTTAAAAATCAAGAGACACTTACATATAATCATAATATACATCTTTTTTTTCCCCCTAGAAATTGAGAAATAATCATAATATACATAAATTACATGTATATTCATCAATGAATAAATAGTTAATTTACAATTTAAAAAAAATGCTCTTTGAATTAACCTTGAATCTGCAATAGATCTGCAAAAAATCACAAAAAATTAAAACACAATTAAAAATCAAAATAAAAAAAAACTGCAAAAAAATTAAAAATCAGAATGATAAACAAAAACTTTAGATATGAAAATTTTAAAAAACAAAAACCACCAAAATCCACAATCCACCCACAACCCACGACCCACCACCCACAACCAACGACCCACCACCCAACAACCCACGACCTACCACCCACAACCAGCAACCCACCACCCAGATTCAACGACCCACCACCCACAACCCACGACCCACCCCACCACCTACCTAAATCCATCCCACCACCCACCTAAAACGACCCAACGTCCCACCAGCCACCTAAAAAGACCGCACCACCCCACCACCCACCTAAAACCACCACATCACCCACCTAAACTCACCGCCTTCGCAAATAACAACCCAAAATTAACAAAAACAAAAAAAATCGAAAAATAAAATTAAAAAAACACACATACCATCACGGATCCACACAAAACATTGAAATAGGGTTTACGAGGCCAAATTCGACCATGAAAACTCTATATCTAGAATTTTCATGGTCGAATTTGACCGGAAAACCCGTATTTTCATCCGAGGAGAGAGAGTGCGACAATAAGCTTGGTGGTGTTATTGTTGGAGGCGGGGATGGTTAATGGCGGTGGTTGTTGTTGCGGCGGTGGACGAGTCGAACGAAGGAGAGAGAAAGATATCGCGAGAGAGGGAGAAGATTAGGGTTAAGGAGAGAGAAAGAGAAGAGAGATCAGGAGAGAGGAGGAGATCCGTAATAGAGAGAAGGAGGAGAGAGAGAGAAGGAGGAGAGCAGGAGGAGAGGCGATAGAGGAGAGAGAAGATTAGGGTTAGGGTATATAAAGGAACCCACGAAAGAGTGATGAGGAGGAAGGGGAATGAGAAAGGCGGGCTAATTTTTTTATTTGATCATTGCCACCGGTTCAAAACCAGTGGCCTTTATCATTTATGCCACCGGTTCGGTTTCAACCGATGGCAATGTTCATGTGCCTAATCCCGCCCATTTTTTAAGCCACCGATTTTCAAAAACCGGTGGCCATTGAGCGGTGCCTTTTTCAATTTTTCTACTAGTGATAATCTTTGTCAACTTTTTCACACAGACTCCTCTTTTCCTTCACCTTATCATGTCTCTTTGTCCTAACCTTATCATGTTTCTTTGCCCTTCTGACTTTCTTACCCTTTCCCTTTTGTGCAACACGCTTCACCCTAGGAGTAAGTCTACTCTCTTTCAGACTTTCAACATGCTTATTGAACTCTCTTTCAGATATCAACACAGCCTCATCAAGCACACTATGTTTTTGGATTGGTTTTAATTTTTAAGCTTTGGGCTTGGAAGTTGGTTGTGCAGAAGGTAAGATGGGCTGAGATTGTGCTGCGATTGGGCTTTGATGGTAGGGCCCAGGTTCATTAATGTTGAGCGTTAGTAAATTTGTCCTATATGTTAGCAAAGTCAAAGGCATAGATTATGGTGTGAGTTCCAAAATTGGCTCTATAGTACAATACATCTCCAATGTTCCCATCTTATCTACCGTGTCTAGGAATTTGTCAATGTCCAAATCTTCCTTGAACTCTTTCCTCCCACTACCTAGTGTTCTACCCTTCATCCTATACCATACCTTAAACCTTTGGAGAACATCCATTCCAGCATCCCTAAACCCAGTGGCAACAACATATCTAAGAGTTGAAACCCTAATGTTTCTCACACTACCTTGTGTAGTCAAATATGTCCAACCCCCTTATACTCAACGACCTTCCTGCCTTTATGCACCTTAGTAACAAATTCCCCTCCTAATCTAATCCTTAAATTAACAAACATGGGATAAAAACTCTCCTCCTCCATACTGCAACACCTAATGCAATAAAAAAGGCAAACAATATTCAATCAATTACTTGGTCAAAAACACACACACCAATCACAATAAACAACAAATATAACAACATGCATGACATTTAAAACCAGTAATTTAATAAACTAATTAATACTGAAAATTGAAACATGCAGCTTTGAATTTTTAATTATATCCACTAATTAAACAATAAAAACCCTAATTTACAACTAATTCATGAATATAATACCACATTACACAAATTAGCATGCAATTACAGTGTTACGTTTTCTAGGGTTTCACAATGTCAATGTATAAACTCAAAATACCTTGCCTTTTTTTTTACTCCGTTTTGCTAATTCCAACAAATAAAATCCTCCTTGCATTGGTCCCCCCTTCAACGACGTCGTTTTCCACCCAGTTGTACTCTCCTACTACCTAGAATGAGGTACACTTATGGGACATTTTTCAACTTTTTTGACCATCAATTAGGAGAGAGAGGAGAAGTGATGCAAGAGATTTAATTTTCTGAAAAAATAAAAATAGATGGGTGAGGTTGGATTAATTGCAATTAATGGTGAAGGAGAGAGAAGGGAGACAGGGGAGTGAAGTTTCGAGTGAGAAATAGAAAATAGGAGGGATAAAGGGATGAAAGGTATTATGTAGGGCTCACATGACGTCATAAGGTGGTTAAGAGTTAACTAGGTGAGAACTTTTGGTGTTTAAGAAAAGAACTAGCCTTCTGGCCCGTGCAATGCACAGGTTATTCATATAAAATTGTATTGAGAGATAAGTGAGGAAATATCAATAAATCATTATAGGGTATAATATGTAATCGAAAACATGATTAAAGAAATTAAAATTTTGGAACTTTAATCCAAAAAGGACTTAAAAAGAAGATGGAAGGGCTAAAATTAAAGAGAGAATAGGAAAAGGTTTAATTAAAGGGGAGAGATGAAGATGAAGATGAAGATGAAGAGATGAAGTGTATATGAAAGATGAAGTATAAGTAAAGAATTAAAAAAAATGGTGTAATTAAAAATTAATAGTGTAAGATGACATGTGACACTATGGTTAAAGAAGTGTAATACTAGTAGAATGGATGAGGACATGTGTCTTTCTTAGTTTATTGGTTATAGTTTTTAAATACTAAGTATAGATAGGTGGTAATTTAAAAAAAAATAATAATAGTGGGTGGTAATTATTAATCCCAACTTTGGGTCATTTGGCCTGACAAAAGAAAATGCCCCATAAAGTTGGGATTATTCAATAATAATGGAAAGTTGGGATTAATGAAAGTAAATGGCCGAAAGTTGGGATTAATAATTACAAATTTTCTTTGTTAAAGTGGAAAGAATAGTAGGTGGTAATTGTCAAAATTTCCTAATTTTTAATACTCTAACTCCCTCACTTATATGTTATTTTGTTTAAGCCAATTAAAATTCCCTAAAATTTATTTTGTGTCGGTCAAATTATAACACTTAGGTCCTGTTTGATTCACCTTAATTTTGCTGAACTTAAATTATTTTTACTTAACTTAACTTATATTTACTGAACTGAACTTAATTTTACTGAACTGAAATTATTTTTACTGAACTTAAATTATTTTTACTCAACTGAACTTATTTTTACTGAACTGAACTTAATTTTACTGAACTGAAATTGTTTTTACTGAACTGAAATTATTTTTAGTGATTTTCTATTATAATTCTTCTTTAAGAAAAATGAATTTTACTGAACTGAACTTATTTTTACTGAACTGAAATTATTTTTACTGAAGTGAAATTAATTTTACTGAATTGACTTTACTCCGTATCAAAAACAGAGGGAGTATTATTTTCGACTTTTCCATGTTTTGTCCTTTGACTTGTAAGTTTTTGTTTTTGGTAAAAATATCTTTAAAAAGGTAAATTGAAAAGGAGAAAAAAAAAACCATCCATTATTCAGCTCATTTAACGTCAGTGTGAGCTTGAGGATGACGTTTGTAGAGACCACCAAATGCTGCCTATTTTGACCTCCATATCCTAACTGGATATATCAGTTATACTCTCCAATCATTCAACAACAACTGATCAATTTTTATGTAAGTTCTTCAATTTCGTTATATCCCATATTTATGCTTTTATTGCTTCGTAATTGACGATTAATTTCCTAATTTAGCTATGATTTTATCATTTTAATTGGCAAATTATCCATTTTTTAAGTTGGGTTTGCTTGTTTTTCCTTCGATTCCATGAAATTTGATTGTCTGAAACATAATTTATCAGTTATTATTTGCATGTTTAGTTGATTGTTTGTGGATTAATTTCTGGGTAATGAAGTTGCAAAAGTGTCTGCAACATAATAGGTTATAAGGGTACAAGTAAATGACAATGGAAGATAATTTTTGATTCAAAATGAACCTATTTAATTTGGGGATACAATCAAATTTTACAGCAATATCATTCCGGTTATTGGATTCGAGCACGGCTCGAGGGGCTATATATACTCTTTTGTCGATGATCAGCTCCAGAATTTGATATGTATTTTAGTCTGGTGGAGTCCTTGGAGGAGAATTTGAGTGAGGAGAATTTGAGCGAAATGGGTCAATATGTAAGTCGATTAGAGTTAGATTCTGAAGACGAATTCTATGATGCTAGCAACACTGCTAATTCTAGTAGCTATGGTCATGCACATGATGACAATTCGAAATGTTTAGACAACGAAATTTCTGACTTGACAATGATTAAATCAAAACCCAATGAGCATTTGAGAAAGGTTGTACCCGGAAAGAGAAAAAGATCTGTATCAGCAGTGAAAATGTTGGCTGGTCGAGAGGCTAATTATTCTGGGAGAGGGAGGTTCACATCTGCAGACTGTTGCCATGTGGCTAGCCGTTATGTGCCTGTTAAAGGGCCCTGGCTCCTGGATCAGATGAGCAGTCGAGCATATGTTTCACAGTTTTCCACTGATGGGTCTCTTTTTATTACTGGATTTCAGGTAAATTCCTAGAAGGCTTAGAGATGGGATTAATTAATAAAGCCATTGGCCTCCTGTCATTCTTGGTGGCAGGTGCAGATTATGATTTGCATATTTAAATTGTTATAGTAATTTGCTTGCACTTTGGTTGTGCAGGGAAGTCATATTAGAATATACAATGTTGATAGGGGATGGAAAGTTAAAAAGAACATTGTTGCCAAAAGCCTGCGTTGGACAATTACCGACACATCCCTTTCGCCGGACCAGCAGTACCTTGTGAGTGATTGTCATTTGTTGGCCGGAAGTAAATTAAAATGTGCCTCATAAAAAATTTTATTTTATATTTTGTTGGGAGGGGAGGGGAGGGGTGTTGTATAATAGAAATAGTGGAGAGATTTATTCTATAAATTTTTGTTTCACTTGTGATGACATGACTATGTTGTTATTGCAGGTATATTCCAGCATGTCACCTCTTGTACATATTGTTGATATTGGATCTGCTGCTATCGAGTCTCATGCGAATGTGAATGTATGGATCTCATTCTTCAATTTTCTGTCTTAGGAGACATACTTTATTTTTACATATGGAAAAATACGTGCACTACTAGTTTTTGGGTTTATTTAAAATTGTGGTATACAATCTCAAGGAAGTGCATTCTGGAGTATCATTTTGATAAAGCAGGAGGTTTTCATGAATATTAATTGTAAATTCGCTTCTACAATATTTAGTTCTTGATCAGCTCAACTCATATAATCTCTATAAGAATCTTATCTGCATGTCAACTTCAATGAGGATATAATGAGACTTTATGCTACCATAGCTAGATAAATAAAAGGGAAATAAAATACAAAATATGGAGAATGAGATGGTGATAAATGGCTTGGATTGTTCAAAATAAATTATTGGGCAATAGGATACAATATATAGAGAATGCTGATGGTAGTTGAAATGAGTTAGTGGTTGTTTAGCTGGGGAAGAGGGGGAAGAGGTGTAATAATGATACATGAATATGGCTCTATCGTTCTGTTAGGCCGTATTGTAAAGGATTTTCAATTGATCGAATCAATATTGTTCAGTTTAGTAAGGAGTGTTTCAAAACCCGTGATCTTTTCCAAATTAAACGTTCCAACTTTGAATTGCCCAATATGAAAGTTATTTCCCATGTTTCACTCAAAGTTGCTTGCTATTCAAAGATAGAGTGATAAATTCCTCATGTGAGTCATATCTTCCAAATAATGGCTCTAAGCCTTTATTAATCTACTCTAATTACTCTTATAGCGTACAAGTGAACAAGAATTAAAATCAAATTTGTATCACTATAACCGCGACACAGTCCACGATCGTGCATCATATACGTTCCCCCAACAATGTGACTGTTCCTGCGAAGCGACTAAAACCATATTTTTGAAACACGAGGATATAAGTCATCTATCCCTCCTTACACCATCAATATGTCTTGTTTATGTGGGTACAAATAATTGGTCTATAAGCAACAATGTGATTAAGCTTTCAAAATTAGGTGGCATAATTCTTTGTTATGTTTCATAATCTGCATTTATTGGAGAAAAAATATGTTAATATCTTTTAAGTTGACTATATTCTTGATCCTTCCGTAGTATTTAATTTACTTCCTCTGGTTTTGTTTCATTCTTTTCCTTTTTTTTTCTCGGTCTTTCGCAACACTTCAGGTTTACTTCTTTTGTTAGGTCTCGATTTTTCTATTGCTATACTTTTACTTTAGCACCATTCAAATTTTCTACCTTTACTACCTTTGACTTTGGTGATTTATAATTAAGAAAAAAGTCATCGTGTAGGATCTCGTTAAATTCATCTTGATTATACTTTCACGATATCAAATTTTATATTTTTTACTTATTGCTAATAAGCAATATAAATGATTTATAATAAACATTAGTGAGCATGACATAAGAAGGGTTGCAAGTAAAAAAAATGAAAAAAAAGAACCGCGGAAGTACTCACCGGTGGAGAGAGTATATGATATGGTCTTCATAAAGTCTTCAAAAAAGTGCATTATGCACGATAGCAAATCCAAAAACTATTTGTTATGGGTTCGGAGTCACTAAATACATATATTAGTGAAACCAAATAACATAATTATATTTCCTTCAAATAAAATAACATAATTATCTTGCAATAAATAATTTGGGTGTGACCAACAAGAGTTGGCTCAAGTGGTAAGAAACTTGATGTCGCTTAAGGGAAGTTTCGAGTTCGAGCCTCACCGAAAACTCTTGTTGAGAGACTCATCCATCATAAGCAACCCGGGTTGGATCCGGATATAGTGAACCGGATGGGGCAACCTAAAAAATAAATAAATAAAGGGTGTGCACATGTTTACAAAAAAAAAAAAAAAAAAAAATAAAATAAAAAAATTACTTAAATTTGGAACTAACTATCAAATTCAACATGCATCTTTGATAGAGATTATAGAAAGATAATATATACTTTCATGGTTAAGCTTTGTGCCAGGTAGAGTAGAACTTGCTACCTTTGATTAATGGTGTTGTGTTCACACCACTGGGCTGTTGGGAAGGTTCAACATATATACTTACATTTTATTTAACTAGCTATAGCAAAGAAATTTGATTAGAATTTTCCTGATCCGTTATGGGTTCAACTGAACCCACAAAACCCATATGGGAACCGCCACTGATTATGTACCTTTGGTAACATATGTATACTTAAATCAGAGCTGCTTTCATTTGGGGAAATAAAGGAATTAAATCCTTAAGTGAGGGAAATAAGAGAAAATGATCCATGTTAAAATCGATGTTATCTATTTTGCCTACCACTTGTTATCTTGCACTATGCTATAATTTAAATTTTAAAGATACAAAACTAGAAATATATCATATTTAATGGTACCAGAAAGTACCTTGTTAAGTAAATACAAGAATAACCAGAGCAACCTAATAAAGTAAAAGAAGAAATCAAGAGCAACCTAACTAATTTATATTGGTCAATTATTATCTTCACTCCTCGGTCTTTTTCAGGTGTATTTAACCATATCAAAGTCTCCTGATAAGGGTCCAAAGGTGGAGTCATGAGGAGATTCTATTTCATCTTCTACCTCTGTTTTAATGTGTTCTTAATATTTACTGTTTGCATAAGTATAAGGCAAAGGAGAGAGTGTATAAAAAGGTGGGTGGGTGAAAGAAAAAGATGGAAAAAGTAAGAGAGAAAGTGTAAAAAGATGGATTTATAAAAAAAGGTGGATAAAGTATGACAAAGTGAGTGTGTACGCTAAAAGAGGTTAGGTAGTAAATGGGGTTGGCCAAAGATGAAATAAAGTAGATATGTTGAGAACATTATAACACGATAAAATGGAATATGTTAAGAACAATACAAAATAGGGGTAGTATTGATATTAATTGCTGATTGGTCAATGATTCCGAGACGAACACATATAAAATCCTGTTGTTCTTCTCATAAACATCTGCTTTGACTGTTATGACAAAGTGAATGTGTAGGCTAAGAGAGGTTAGGTAGTGAATGGGGTTATCCAAAGATAAAATAGAGTATATATGTTGAGAACATTATAACACGAATAAAATGGAATATGTTAATAACATTATGAAATAGGGGTAGTATTGATATTAATTGCTGATTGGTCAATGATTCCCAGACAAACACGTATGAAATCCTGTTTTTCTTCTCATTAACATCTGCTTTGATTGTTTATGTTGAACAAATTCAAAACTATTTACTTTTCACTGACTCCATGTAGCAGTGGGTGCTTGTTTTTTGTTTCATTAGTAATAAAAGCAATTGATATACTAGTCATTTTTTTTTTCTATTTGGAGATGCCAAATTATCAAGGCATGGGGTATTACATAGAAACATATAACTGCTATAGGCAAGGTTTGGGGGTTGCAAAGGAAAATTTTGGAAATACTTCCTTTTCAGTTCTGCTCATTAGCTGGGATCTCAAATCGACACATTTGCATTTTCCTGGTTTTTTTTTTCTTCTTTCTTGCTTCCGAGGAAAGTTGGGGGAGGAAAAGAAAACAATAAGTGGATCTGAAGCAGATCATTCCTATTATATGACTGGAGAGGATTTTCTGAATTATAGTGCTGAATTTGTTGACAAGCTCTTTTGAAATGATGCTACTGATTAATTTCCTAAGATTAGTCTTACTACAGTAGTGTAATAAGCTATATTGTACCGAATCTTCTCTAGTAATTTAGGATGGCATGTCACTCCAATCACCTTATTGTACTACTTTATAGTTTAAAACAAAAAAAAATTCCATCTGAAATAGTATGTTTGCTGTTGTCATATCTTTAACTGCTCCCTTGACATAATACTTTTAACTCATTTAGGACAAAACAATCATATCTGGTGTGTATTCTGATGTTGTGCAGGAGCTCCATGATGGCTTGGATTTTTCAGAATATGGTGAAGGTTACGGGTTTGGGATTTTCTCTGTGAAATTCTCAACAGATGGTCGAGAACTTGTGGCTGGAAGTAGTGATGATGCAATTTATGTTTATGATCTTGAGGCTAAAAAGCTTTCCCTCCGAATATCAGCTCACATTGTAGGCACTCATCTAAATTTATTGTTTTTCTTTTTTTCTTTTTCAATGTTATCTTTAAATATTCATTCTATTAACCTTTATTCAGACATTTTTCTTTGGCATTGTTTTCTTACATGAATTTGGCGTTATTTTGTTTAAATTAAGTAGGTTTCCCTATTGCAACCATGGTTTCCAAAATTATCGAAATTTAAGATTTTGTGAACCAAATGCACATTTATTCCTTATCATTTTGACTTTATTCAAACTACTATTCTTAACCAAATTAGTGGTTTTATAACTGATTTTGTTTGTTTAGTTGCTTAAAGGTTAACAACCAGACTAACTCAGTTGTTAGAGTTATTGTTGAAGAATAGACCTCTCAAGTGTTACTACATGTAAGTATGCCACATTGTTGAAGAAGAGAGAGTTAGTCACTTTATAAGGCTAGGGGACTACTCCTATTGTTATATGGTTTTGGGATGAAATATCCTTTGTACTTATGAAGTAGACTCTCTCTCTTGATTTGCGGGTATGGCCCAAATATGTATTTAATATGGCATCAGAGCCAAGCCCACGATATGGGATCTTAAATGGCTAAAGTTCACTGGCCAAGAGTAGGTCCATGGAGGGGGAGTAAAGAAGCACTCTAGCTCGAAAAATCACATGAGAAAAAGTTAAAAGGGGCCTTACATGTGAGGGGTGTTGAAGAATATATTTCTCAAGTATCACCACATGTAAGTGTCCCACATTGGTCGAAGAATAGAGAGTTAATCAATTTATAAGGCTAAGGGGCTACTCCTATTGCCATATGGTTTTGGGATGGAACATCCTTTAAACTTGTGAAGTGGACTCTCTCGTTTAGTTTGTAGGTGTGGCCTAGACCCATATTTAATATTTATCTCGATTGGTAAGAGGATTGGAGTTGTAACTCGTTGTAAGTGGAATAATTTGAGGGGTCTGGCTGGTTGGTGAAGAGTACTATTTAAGCTTGACATTCCCAAAAATTCCATAACAGGGAAGTGGTATTACGGTTTAATATTGGGTGTTATTCCGGCGTTGTTGGCCCAACTTATCTATACTTATATGGTGGATCTCAAACATATTTTTTCGGTGCGGTTGTCCAAATTGAGTAAACAACCCTGCTTAGATTCCTCAAATAAAATTCGCGGAAGACCTTTAGTGAAGATATCCGCTATTTGATATCGGGAAGGCACATGAAGAACTCGAACTTCCCCACGTGCAACTTTTTTTCGAACAAAATGAATATCCATTTCTATGTGTTTTGTTCGTTGATGTTGAACTGGATTACCTGACAAATAAATAGCACTAAACATTGTCACAATAAACAAGAGTAGCCTTTTTAATTGGATAATGTAACTCCAAGAGAAGATTTCGAATCCAGCATTACTCGGAAACGACATTTGCCACCCCACGATATTCTGCCTCTGAACTCGACTTGGACAATGTGGGTTGTCGTTTAGATGACCAAGATATCAAATTATCTCCCAAAAAAGCACAATAACCAGACGTCGAACGTCTTGTATCAGGGCACCCACCCCAATCTGCATCAGTATATGCAACCAGAGAAGAGATAGAGGATGGATATAAATGGAGTCCAAAATCTAGAGTACCTTGTAGATACCGAATAATCCGTTTGAGAGCAGACATATGATCACGGGTCATGCATATGAAGGCAAATCTGCTGAACAGCATAAGAAATATCCGGCCTGGTAAATGTAAGATACTGTAGAGCCCCAGCAAGGCTCCTATACAGAGATGGATCATCAAAATGAGCACTAGTGGTAGCGCCAACCTTCGGCTTCGTGTCAACCGGAGTGTGAGACGGTTTACACGATGACATCCTTGCACGATCAATAATTTCCTCGGCATATTTACGCTGTGAGAGAAACAAACCACCCTTATGTCTAGTCACAGCAATACCCAAAAAATAATTCAGGGGACCAAGGTCCTTCATAGCAAACTCAGGGCTAAGATGAGCCATAATAGAACATCGGAGAGCATCAGAAGAAGCAGTCAGTATAATATCATCAACATACAATAAAAGATAAGCCATGTCAGACCCCTTACGATAGATAAATAAAGAATTATCCATCCTGTTGTTAGTAAAACCAAGAGACAACACATAATCAGCAAACCGCTTATACCAAGCCCGGGGCGCTTGCTTTAGGCCATAAAATGACTTACGTAATAAACAAACATAATCCGGATGGGTCTGATCTCTATACCCAACTGGTTGATGCATATAGACAGTCTCTTGTAGCTCACCATGTAAGAAAGCATTTTTAACATCCAACTGATGAATAGACCATGCCTTTGACAATGAAAGACTAAGCACAGTACGGATTGTAGCCGGTTTGACAACTGGACTAAATGTCTCACCACAATCGATGCCAACCTGCTGAGTTTTGCCATCACCTACAAGACGGGCTTTATGCCTCTCAAAATCACCATTAGATTTGACTTTATGAGTAAAAATCCACATAGAACGAATAACATTCACATTAGGTGGACGGGGCACCAAATCCCACGTCTTATTTTTAATAAGAGCATCAAATTCATCATCCATGGCCATTTTCCAATTAGGATCACGCAAAGCCGCGATCGGATTACGAGGTAAAGGAGACCTCGTGACAGCAACATTGGAAAAATATTTTTTATTTGGCTTAACAATGCCATTTTGACTACGAGTCACAATGGAAGGCTGCTGGACCGGAATTTGTGTAGGAATGGAAGCTGGCGGGCCATGTGGGAGCTGGGCTAATGGAGAGGAAATAGGAGAAGCACGAATTGGGCTGGGTGAGGGAGGAGGCCCATGCGCAACTTGCAAAGGAGAGTGGGCAGGAGATGAGGGAGGAGAGTGTTGTTGGGCCGTGGGGGAAAGAGGAGAAGATGTGGGCTGGACAGGTGGTGGACTGTCATGAGCTTGGGTCAAATGATGTATAACAGAAGGATGTAACACATCATTTAGAAAATCATACGAGTCAGCAGATGGAACATGAAGTTTAGCAAAGGGAAACACATTCTCATCAAACAACACATGTCGACAAATAATTATTTTATTTGACGATAAATCAAAACACTTATAACCTCAATGATTTGGAGGAAAACCCAAAGAAACACATGGAGTAGACCGTGGTTGTAACTTATGAATAGTGGTAGAGGGAATAAGAGGATAACATAAACACCCGAAAACCCGCAAATGAGAATAAGAAGGAATACGTTGATAAAGAACCTCTAAAGGAGACTTATTTCCTAACAACTTACTTGGAATGATATTAAGGAGATAAGTGGTCATTTGTAAAGCATGATGCCAAAAAGATGGAGGTAGAGAGGCATGAGCAAGAAGAGTTCTAGTGATATTATTGATAGTTCTAATTTTTCGCTCGGCTTTCCCATTTTGTGAGGAAGAATGGGGACAAGAAAGACGAAAAGACAAGCCATTTCGTTTGCAAAAATCCCAAAACGGACCATTATCAAACTCCCTTCCATTATCACATTGAATATTTTTTATTATTCGTTCGAATTGTGTGGAGATATGGGCTTTAAAATTTAGAAAGGTGTCATAAACATCCGATTTCTTGGCTATAGGAAAAGTCCATAAATAATTCGAAAAATCATCTAATAAAACAATATAATAACGATGGCCCGTAGAACTTAAAATGGGAGATGTCCACAAGTCACTATGAATAATATCAAATGGCATAAGAGTGTTTGAAGTAGAAGAAACAAAAGGCAACTTGACATGTTTTCCATAAACACAAGAACCACATGCTAGAACTAGAATGTTTGGTACAATCAATGCTTTTATTATGCCTAAGAACATCTAAAACAGGAGCACTCGGATGACCCAACCGATCATGCCAAAGTTTAGGAGAGATGGCGGCGAAGGTAGAGGGATAAGCTTGATTGTTGGTAAATGGATAAAGGTCCCCTTGGCTATCACACCTCATGATTGGCTTCCCCGTCCGAAAATCCTTCACAGAAAACCCAAAAGGATCAAACTCAACCGTTACAGAATTATCGGTTGTAAATTTTCTAACAGAAATCAGATTTTTAATGATTTTGGGAGCATGAAGGACATTTTTTAATGAGAGAGGAGTAACAGTGGAAGGTAGTTTAGTGTTACCATAACCTAGTATAGGAATAGTATGACCATTACCAACAACAATGCCATTATTAGGATGACTGCTCAAATTAAAATAAGACGAGAAATTACCAGAAGAGGATGTCATATGAGATGTTGCACCGATATCCATGTACCAAGACGGATCAGGTTGTTGAAGAGACATAGTGTGCATAGCCGCCTCGATATCCGTAGGAGCAAAGGACCCGGACTGACCAAGAGAATTCGAACTTGCTGAACATAGGCCTGCTGTAGTCTTGGGCCCAACACACCAGGTTGTTGGCGCATAGGAGGAGTGGATTGGGGTCTGACCCAACTTTGAGTTGGGTAGGGACAAGGGGGTATGGGCCAGCCTTGATTATACCAACCCCAAGGAAAAGAGCCCGGACCCTGTTGTGACTGCCATGTCGACTGTCGACTGCTACTGCTGTCCACCGGACCACCGTGGCTGCCGGACTGCTGGTCCCAGCCACCGCCGTTGTTGCCGCCGGTGGTTCGGCCACCACCAGAACCGGTGTTTTTCCGGCCACCGTTGTTGGTGCGCCGGCTAGAAGAGTTTTTCCCTTTGTGATGGCCCGATTTTTCCCCATGAGTCGGACCACCATCTGTTGCGGCCACCATCGCAGACTCTGTGGCGGCCTCCTTAGCTAAACCGGCTTCTTCTAAAGTAAGCATGGAACGTGCCTTATAAAAAGGCGGCAGAGGATTACTTTGGCGAATTAGCGTACCCACACCTCGGTACGGTCGAGTTAGTCCCCCAACCAACTGTAACACCATTCTACTATCGGACACCGGAGCCCCAACATTCTTCAATTGATCCGCAAGGGATTTAAGACGTTGACAATAGGAAGAAACATTTGGGAAATCCTCCATAGAAGTAGTAGAGAATTCTTGTTCCAAAGCCACGGCACGAGAGTGTTCATTATCTTGGAATATGTCACGCAACCTATCCCAAGCTTCCATTGCCGTAAAATCGGGCTCAATAATGGTGTTCAACAAATCACGAGAAATAGTAGAATAAATCCACGAGAGAGCCGTGGCATCCAAGGTTGCCCATAATTCTTTTTCCGCATCCGTAGATGGAGGAGGTTGCTCCTTGCCCTTGGCCGGAGGAATGATATGGTGAAGAACCTTGTTTGATTTTGCGTGAACCTTGAATAATTCCGCCCATGTAGAGTATTGAACATTTTCCATCTCAAGGGTGATGGGAACGTTGTTCTTGATATTGGAAACGGCAAGAGCCGGATGGAAGGTTGTTTTGGAGTCCCCCATGAAAAAGAGAAGAAGAAGAGAAGAAGAAAAGAAGAAGAAGAGAGGTAGAGAAAGAGAATGTGGGCGGAACAGAGTTAGGGTGCAGCGGAAACAGAGAAATTATCACCCTAGGCTAACTGATACCATGAAAGATTTAGGGAATATTTTCCTTGATTTGTCATTGATATTCACAGAGAATATATACAAGAGTTTCGCATAATCCTAGGCTACAAACTAGGAAACCAATTACATAAAACTCGTGTAACAGAAGCAACAAACTAGGAGGATAATTTTAGAGAAATTATCTCCTTTGACTAAGGCTAATATATACAATATATATATATATATATATATATATATATATATATATATATATATATATATATATATATATATAACAGAATGGGGGCTATTTCAAGTATTTAATTGTAATTAAACTAGTAGTCTTTCCTTTTGGTAAATCAACAATAACAAATGATATCAACTTATTTTTTCGCTGAAGAGATTAATATATAAATTTTATAAGTTCGGATTATTATTTGTTTCACTTCCAATTAATGCTCTCTATTTCACTTGTTTGGTAGTTGTTTTTTATTTTTTTATTGTTTCAATTGGTAGGTTTGGTTTTGAATGAAGTCCTTGTTACCAAAATTTCTATCCCTCTTTTGTTAAATTTCAATGAAATTTAGTTAAATTCATGAGGAAGCTTAATGTAGTGTGTTCAAAAGATATTACAGCTTGACATACGAAAAGGACTTCCTTAAACCCTGGAGGTTTAATTGGCTAAACACTCTTAACACCTTGCCATTTTTATGTTATTCCATTCCGTTTCAATGCACCCAAGATTATCTGCACATAAAAAAGGGGTACACATATTGAGGAGCTTGTCATTGTAATTATTTTTATACGCCTTAACTTAGTTGAAGCTTTAGCATGAAATTAGGAGACCATTTCTATGCTCCTCTCCAAAGTTGGCTTGAGATCAGGGTCCAATTTGCCTTCTCAGGGCTTTATTTTACTACTTTTGAGGCAAGCTTACTCTCACAAGTATATGAAGTTACTTCATGTATTACATTGTTAATACTTAAATATCCTAATATATCTCAGACTGAAAGTAGAACTTTTTGCATGATTATGTGGATAGGAATCAGAAATAAGGGAGGTGGAGTCTTAGAGGTTTATACTGCATTGCTTTTAAAATTTAACTGTTTTGGCCAAAAATACACAGTAAAAATAGCTTTGATTAATTTTACCTTTTCTGCCTTGTGAGGAGAACATAACTTTTTTATCAAATGTATGGAAATTGGCTGTATACATGTGTAAATGTGAATTTTTTTCGGGAAAAAATAAATGCAAATTTTTTGTTGATTTTTTGTGGTTCCTTCCTTAACATATTGCTAATTGCTAAAAATTGAAGATGATAAAAAACCTGTCTTCACTTACTTTCTTGATACTTTTGTGCAGTCAGATGTGAACACCGTTTGTTTTGCTGATGAAAACGGCCATCTTATATTTTCTGGAAGTGATGACAATTACTGTAAGGTAAACAATGTGCCTTTTTTAAGTTTTATAGTATAAGGTAAGATACAAGTTGTTTGCCTACCTATCTCAGGGGAAGAACCTACTGATGTTACACACACTTGAAAGAAAAATAGAAAATTATTGCCAGCAACAAACTTCAGAAGTTGATTGTGGTGAACCAATAAAATTATAACTAAACTCAATACACCCAATTAAGAGGAGGTAAGTTAAGATCCAAACTGCATTGATTCCAATCCAAACAATCCCTAGAGCACCCCAATTCTCCAAACAAAAAACCACAAATCCTGCGTTTTAAAAAACGTAAAAGTACTATGATACCATTTCAACCGATATGATTCAAGTCTCCACACTTCTCAAACAGACTAACTGGTTAATAAGAAAAGGGTGCTGAAGCTGAGATCTATGTCATACATTGCAAGTGATAAGTGTTGCATACTGTATACTCCTTCCTCCCAAATAACAGGCCACAAATTTATCATGATCCATATCAGGGTAGTATGCCACGTTCTCAGTTTCTTAGTGTTAATTATTGATAATTAGGGGATATAAAACCCCGGATTTTTTTTAATTACTATTTTTTATTTATAAATAAGAAAAAAAAAATTATGTACTCCATTCGTGATATGCTTTCCATTTTGAGCCGTTTTAAAATGTTTGGCTCATTTCTACTATATTCTTTTTCTTAGGAAAAATTCCTTTTACTACCTTACCTCTCCTACCCCACACTATTCACACCTTTTTACACCCACCCCAGGTAGCACTTACCAATGTGAAGAGTGATTAATAAATAGCGCAAGTGCTAATGAAAGCAGAACTGGGTGTGAAATTATTGTTTTGTCAATACCCCCATGAAGAGGCTTATTTAAAATTACCACGCTAGTACCAACTAAAGTTGTACACGCAACTAGATCTTACAGTGTCGGAACTTGAATCAAGCCACCCAAGGGTCAATACACTAGAAGAAGCCAATAAGTGTAGCTTAAAGGCCTACCAAGCATTTAACTCCTCTCACTATTTCTGGATCAACAATTCCCTTCGGAGAAGTCTCCAACGATTTCAAAACCCTGACATTTCAAGATGGCTAACTTGAGAATCCAACACCTAAGGCTTGCCTGTGCAAGACATCGGTCCTCAGATAGATTCTGGCGGTCGTGAGGATCTGGCCTTAACGAGTTCTTAATGGATGGGGTTGGCAAGTGATGGTAGGACTTTGGCGCATGTTATATTGTCTGATGACCGTGCTCTAAACCTCCTATCGTTTCCATAGAGGCAAAAATAGGTGCCCCAGTATACCTATTTTTACATCTGCTTACTCATATACATGATGCTGGATGCCTGGATCCAATAAATGTGTATACTAATACCTATTAATGTATCAATCATCAAGATGTATCACATTATTTCCTACCCAGTTAATTATGAGCTGTATCTGTAGGTGTGGGACAGACGATGCTTCATTGCAAGAGGGAAGGCGGCTGGTGTCATGATGGGACATTTAGAAGGAATTACATTTATTGATAGCCGAGGAGATGGTCGATATTTCATTTCAAATGGTAAAGATCAGTGCATAAAGATCTGGGATGTTAGAAAGATGTCCTCTAATATTACTTGGTATGTAAACTATTCATTTATTTTTGTAAGACTTGTAAGTTAAAAACATGTTAAATCTGTCATTTTATGTTTTCACTGTCACACTGTCTATGCATGTAGTGAATTCTTTGTCCATTTTGAAGTCTTCAAAAGTGTGTAATAGTATAATTTAAAGTTATATAGACATGCACTTATGTCACTTCAAAGGCAGGATAAAATTAGAGGTCACGTCCTTCGTAGAAAAATTCTGCTAGTCTACTGAATGTAGGTATTCATAGAATCATAGGTTTATAGTTGATGTAATTCTTTCTTTGCTATATGGGCTTCCAAGGATCTTTTTTGCTGTTTTTCCTTGTATGGTCAGTCATTCTTGATGTAATTCTTTTAGTCTTTCAGGAAAAGAAGATTTTGATTGCTCTAAAAGCTATGTCGCTAGTTATAAGTAGAAAAATCTTTGAATTAGTAAATTCTTAAATTTGAGACTTGTATAAACTTTTGGTTGGAAAATGCTATTTTATTTTGGCTAGAAACTGTAATGTAACAGTTTCATCTAGGTATTTTGACTAACAGGATGCAAGCTATTTGGTTGGTTTAAAATGATAATGTGCATACACAGTAGTCTAGTAATTCCTCTTCTTCTTTTAAGATAAAATGCTAACTTCTGACACTATTAACTTCACTCTAGTTGTCTTTTGTATTCATACATAAGACGAAATACAATCGTGAGGGATCTTTTTAGATTCATTTCAGTGCATATTATCTAATATCTTTTTTACAAAATTTACTTGTTTGATGATTAAAGAAGAAAAGAAGATGATTAAAGATATTTATGATTGAAGTTATATATTAGCAAGCGTTATAAAATAAACATGTTAAACTAAATATAAACTGAGGAAGTATGCCTTTATTCAAATATAACAATGACTGATAAATGATTGTACAACATTACAATGTGCTACCACTGGAACAAATACTCAGTTTTTATGCTTGTGGATATAACTATGCATGTTTGATTATTTGCACATTAATGCGATTTTTGACATGCTTCTATCTGCCAGTGATCCTGCTCCTAGGAATTATGAATGGGATTACAGATGGATGGACTATCCACAGCAGGCAAGACATTTGAGACATCCTAATGATCTATCAGTAGCCACATATGAAGGACATTCAGTCTTGCGTACGCTAATCCGTTGCTATTTTTCTCCAGAATTTAGGTGAGTTTATTTGCCGATGTCTCCCTTTTCAGTGAGCTATAGAGCCAAGTTTATCCTCACTGTTAACTTTTTTGCTTTTCTGTCTACATATTAGCTAGAAGTTATAATTTGTATATAGTATCTATGGAGAGCTTAATAATAAGCTCTTCTTGCTCCTCCAGCTTGGTGATTGAGCTGGATGTTTGTTACGAATTAGAACAGATTAGTGACTACATTGAAGGGATTAAGGACTGTAAAGAGAGATTAAGGGAGGAAGAATATTACATACTCCCTCCACTACCGTTAGTTCCGGTGAAATATGAGATACTGGCATCTATAACGGGACGGAGGGAGTACTTTTGTTTGGTATTATCTAGCATTTAATATGTCAATGCAATTTTGTTTCTTAGCTTTGAGTATCACTGCAATAACTAACAAATTCTTATTCTGTGCGCATAACCTTAACAAAATATTACATGGGATAGGGCGAAGTATTTTGCTTTGGTTGTCTACTCTTTAACATCTATTTACATAAAGAAAACAAGTTTCTCTCTTGATTATGAACTACCTACTGCTTGTTGCACCCTGTAACTTTGATGAAAGTAGGATAGCTGAAATTTGGGGTCAAAGAGTTTCCCAAAACATTCTTGGTGGGTAAAATGTGAATGAAAGATCCCACTGCATAAAGTAAAGTCCATAAAATTTAGTAATAGTGAGAATTATTCATCTCTCTCAATGTCTATTGATTAAAAAATCCAGGGTTTATATTGACATTGAGAAATTATTTGTCACAAAATTGTGGGTGGGGAAATAATGGTCACAGTTTCAAAGACTAGCAAAAGTTCAGCTCATGACAATTTTGACTTTGACCATCATTGTTTCTTTATTATTTGTGGTGTAAATTAAGTGTATTGTTATGCTAGAGTGTTACGCAAAGGAGGTCTAATTTCCTCTTTAAGTGGGATGTGAGGGTTATGAATATGTGACAGATTTTTCTTGCATTATCTGTACTACTTAATTACCTGGGAAAAAGATCTCAACAAAAGGGATGAAGAAACACTTTTGAAGTGATGCTTATGAGTAGAATCCTGAGCTTAAGACTGCAAGATTGAATTGTAGCGCATTGTTTTTAGAGAAAGTAAAAGGAAAATATGTATTCGTTTAAAGGTGAGATCAAGACTCTCATGGACTCTACCAATCTATTGACACATCCTTAAAGACCCAAACCTTTTTATGTGGTCAAGCTTTCAGGAAACACATACTTGAGGTTCATTCTAAAAATAAGGAAAAAGATGTTCAAAAAGGGGGTGAAAGGCTTAACTTGTTAGCCCATTATCACTAAAACTTTGGACGTTGGAGTTAATAGCACTAGGAAAAAAAATGTTGGATGAGATGGAGAGATGCATTATTTGAAACAAATTTAAGATAAGAGCCTATGAGATCTTATATACTCCCTATATTCGTGAAAGTTTGACTCACTATAGACTCTTGTTTCTAGGAAAGTTTTCAAATGGTGAGTGGTGTAAGAAAGTGTATAAAGTACTCCCTCCATCTCTAAAAGAACTACCCTTTTGGGGAGTTTTCACGGGTATCAAGAAACTTAAGTTGGAAGTACATTTATATGGGGAAGCTAATTAAAAGTACATTGAAAAGGGAAATTTACATGGGATTTGCAAAAACGTAGAGAGAGAAAAATAATTGTACATAGATAAGGCAAAATTTACACGGGAAAGCTAATTTTGCACAAATATTATTGCAAAATGGAGGGTATTTAAACACAAATGAGATGAACATTTTGGGACTAAAATTTGGCCAAAAGGGTCATTCTTTTAGGGATAGAGGGAGTAATAGAGATGGAGTACACAGGTAAGTTGGTGTAATGGAAAAGTGATAAAGTAAGAGAGTGAGTGAAAAGATATACATTGTTGTGGGTAAGAGGGGCATAGTTGCAAAAGGGGGTTGCTAAAAATAAAGTAAAAGTGAGTCAATTTTTGAAATACCTCAAAATGGGAAGTAAGTCAAACTTTTGAGGATCAGGAATAGAGGGAATAGTTATATTAGTGTCTGAGGAAGAAGAAGTTTTGGTGTGCAAAACCAATAGAGCTGATGAAGTCAGATAAAGTGGTGCTCTTATACAAATGGGGCTCCATGAATTTCAAAAGGGAGAAATTGTTATGCTATTTTGCCAGGATCTTTCTTTTCTTTTGAAATCAAGAGGCCAGAAGAGAAAGAGAGAGAGAGAGAGAGAGAGAGAGAGAGAGAGGAGAAGGGGTAAGGTGAATTTTTTTTAACTTTTAGTTTTTGTTTTGGTAGGCTACGAGGTTCCTAGAAAGACAAAATTTTAACAGCATGTAACATTGTGCCAGACTTTTGTGCGGTGGTGTTTTCATATTGATCTCATATTATGTATCGGTTTTTTGAAACCTAAGATCATGGAACTTGTTCTGATCCATGCAAGATCTTATGTCAATAAAACTTATCCATTTGTCCTTTTCACTAATCATCGTGTTTCTGAACATTAAACTTTGTGTGCACATCATATAAAATTTGCAACTTCACCATCATTTGATGGATTTTTCTATGGTTTTGGGTTGCTAACTATGAATATAAATTGAATATTATCTGTTCTAGACTTAAAGTAACTCCCTTGAAATTGTTAATTCCTCACTTTTGCATATAGCTTAGGACCTACATTCTTCTCTTGTAATCAACTTGCTCAGTTGACTTCAACTTCCTTCCTTTCTTTTGTTGTGACCATTCCCTTGGCTCACTTTCTCTAATTGGGTAAATACCATATTGCAATCTTATATTCCAACCATTGCAGCGTTATCATAGGAATTTGGAGCATACTGTAGTCAACAAAATTCTATGATTTATATATCCTTGGCATCATTGTCTTCAGTCACGCAAAAATCTGCGGGCAACACGAGCTCTTTAACTTTAATTTATTTTAAACACTTTGGATAATTCTTCGTGACGAAATAAAGATGTCTCATGGCTCTCAACTAATAATGAGATGAAACATTTTCTTAGTCTATTAAGAAGCCATGTGTTAGCTTCCTCAATTTGAAGCACATTACAAAGTAGTTTGGTTTGATATTGTTAGAGAAATATAAGCATTGTAAGCGAACCTCGACAAATAGTAATTGGCTGATTTTTATTAATTTATTTTTAACTGGGGAGCTAATCACATTCACACAAAAATTCATTATATTCAATAACTCATCAACAATGGAGAAATTAATTTAATTTTCCGTTGTGAAATAATAAACTTATGACAAAACTGCTAAGAGGTGTTCTGTACTGCTTAATTTTACTTACCTGAATCTGAATTATTGCCCTTATCTGAAATTATCATTACTTAACTAAATCATCAAGACTTATCTGAACTTATTCCGACTTATATTGTCTGAACTTGTGAGCGTCCAAAGTTTATTTATCTAACCTATTTTGTCTCAAACAAGTCAAAAGAAGTTAAGACAGTAAGGGTTTTCTAACAGTGTTGATAGTGGTAAAAGATAATTGACATGATGGCATTGTCTTTGCAGTGGAAAGAAGTACATATACACAGGTTCAAATGATGGGAGTGTGTACATATATGACTTGGTATGTCATTTATCTCTCATCTTGTGCCTTGTTAAGATGTTGCCTGGTAAATTTTATGCTTGTTGAGCAAAAAGATGCTGATGATGCATATTTTTTATTCCTTGTATTGCATTCTGATTAGTTAAGTGGCTTTGATTCGACATGTAGGGAATAATTATGGATAAATTTTCAGCTTTGATTTATAATTTACTTATAAGTTAAAATGGCTCAATAAACTTCCTGTGAATTATTGTTTTCTGTTAAGCTATGAAAATGAACCCTTTGAAATCAAGGGTCTAATAAATAAATGCTTTCGATTTGTTTTGTGGACATACACCTGACCCTCAATTACCTTGTTTAGGCGAGATTCACATTGTAGACAATGGATCTAGAAAATGACCCCTGAAACCTTTATGGAACATTTTTCGGCACTCAAATTGAAAAATAAAAATTTAATTCATCAGCTCCAAAGAGAATGGTGGCCGGAAAACTCACTAAAGGTGCGATTTGCATCCAAGTCATTAGTTTCTGGTGTTTTGGCTACTACGTAAAATACAGCGTGTTGGGTGCACCCAAGCCATAGTTCAGAGTGTTGAGGCCAATTTTGCCAAAAAATTGAGGACAACTCTTATTTTTGTGTTAATGTGGTGAATGAATCTCCCTTAACTCGATGAGTGGTCTGTTTTGTGTCCTATTACAGGTTAGTGGAGCCATCGTAGCAAAGCTTGATCACCATATGTCTGTGGTGAGAGACTGCAATTGGCACCCTAGTTACCCAATGCTTGTTAGCTCATCTTGGGACGGGAGTTTAGTAAAGTGGGACTTTTCAGGAAGTGATGAAATGCCTGCACCTCCAAGCGACGAACGAGATCTATGGAGACGACATCTATGATTTGGATTTCCTTAATCATTATTCAACAAACATGGAATGATTCCCAAACGATCTCATTCTTGGTGCACTAATACACATTACACGTCTAAGGTACAAACTATAAAGTGTAAATTATACCATACCAAATAACAAATTATTATGTAATTATTCCATATCCTTGTAATATAATCTCATAATTACTTGTATTGTGGGCAAATGTATTGCTGTACAATTATTCTATTTTGAGTGGAAGTTGTTTGTGGGCATACTTTGAAGATAAGGGTTATTGGAAAGAATAGTTATTCGTGATTTACATATGCTGCTTTGAGTGCGCACATAATTTTATGTTTTAGTTATAGAAAGAATCTCTTTTTTATATGCTTCTTCTTTTTACCTTTTTTTTTTCAAAAAATAAAAATAAAAATATGATAAAATCTGAATTTTTAACATTTTCAAATTCTGGCAAGTACCTAGCTATTGACTTAGGGTTTGTTCACATTTAATTTCAATTCAGTTCATCTCAGTAATATTAGTTCAGTTCCAATCAGTTCAGTTCAGCTCCTAATTTCCCTCTCTCATAAAATATTTATTTCAACTCAGTTTAGTTAGCTCCAATCAGTTCAGTTCAGCTTCAATCAGTTCAGTTTAGTTCAATTTAGTACAGTTCAGCTCAGTTCAGTAAATGTGAACATGCTCTTACTCATATTTCGTGCAAAAATATCGCCTCTTTTGGCATTCATATTATTACTGGTTGTGTCGTTTGATTTATGTGTGTGAATTTGAATAAGAGGGATACCCAGTTAATTCCCTAGATAAACAAAATTTGTTTATCTGGAGGAATAATTATCTTTTCAAATACCAGGGGAAAGGTATATGCGTTTTTTCATGTACTTGGTGAGGGGTACATGTGTAATTTTCTCACCAAACAGTAAAAGCAAAAGGCAAACAGTAACTGGACAGCTCACCAAAAGTACTGAATAAATAACCCTGCTTTTTCAATATATTTACAAAAATGCCATCAGATTAACAAAAAATCGTTTATATATTTTCCCTTTGAATAATATTACTCCGTACAATCATCATAGTGTTCTTTGTACAATTATTTTCCTAAGTCAAGATTAAATGTTGACTGAATTCTAAGGTCATTGGTGATGGCTATATTATTATGATATACTCCTATACTTTGTGTAAGAGCAAGATTAGCCCTGGGTCTTAAGATTCTAGATGACATCATCATTTTTTAATTTTGCGGTCTTAAGACGAGACTTTATTATTTTTAACCATTTATGAAGTTTGGTCTTAATAAAATCTGAAGTGCAGTCTTGAAAATTCAAGACTCAACTTCAGACTCAATTTAACACTCAATTTATTTTATTTTTTTTAAAAAAAAACTTTAATAATTTAATTTACATGTAAAAAAATGAGTCTGAGCGATTGAAGAGATAAATTTTATCGAGTCTTAAAGAGTCTTAACATAATTATAAATTAGAAAAAAAAAATTGAACTTAGTCTAAAAAACTGATGTGGCAGTGGAGTAAAGCCTTAAGATGAGACTGCGCTAATCTTGCTCTAAGTTATACAAAGTATATAGTTGTTGATAGCTATATTATTAACAAGGTTAGGTGCGATGTATGGTTTTTATCCATAAAAAGATTTGCTTATTTTTTTGTAATAAAAATTATTTAAGCAAAATATAATAAAATGTAAGCCTTATCGTAGGAAAAATTGAGATAAAATAAAATATACATCCTCTGTTTTCTTATAGTTGTAACACTTTCATAAAATGAAAATGTTACAATAGTAAGAAAATGAAGATTTTTATAGTGAAATTTGTACTATTACCTTTATTTAAAGTTCATGGCCCACATGTGAATTATACTCCTAAGCTCTGAACCCCATTTGAATTAGGTCTACTTTTTTTTAAATACCGTGATAAAGTTTGTGTTACAATTATAAAGAAACAAATGAAGTATAATGTTAAAAAAAAATTATTAAATGTTATATAATGTACTTTATAATTTAAGTCAAAGGTGTTAGGGAAATTGGCTTTAAATTATTCATGCCAACTATTAGCAGCGTATGCAAAATACAATGAACTTTTTTATTTGCTATTTGCGGTACCAACTTTTGTACAACATGTGCAAAATCCTAAGCCAGTCACCGGAAAAGTATCATGAGGAATAGTCCGTCTATATTTATTAATTTTTTGTTTTTTTTTTCAAAATACATATAATGTTAATAATTTTCTTTACAGGACAATCTAAATTAATTGTACCCCACTCATTTGTTAGGTTTTTTTTTTTTAAATTATCAATATGTATTCAATTTTTTTCCCAAAATACCTGTAGTAATTTTTACTACCACAACAATAATAAATAGTGTATGTAAATGTATTATTATTTTGATATAAATAGTTTCAAATTTTGTTTAAAATATCTAAAATTTCCCCACATTATTTTAGTTGGTGAATGTGGGTAAATTTTTTATTTTTGGAACTAATAATACCAACACAATAATGCATTTAAATATCCTATATACTATTGTGTGATAGTAGAATTTACTACATTCATGTATTTTGAAAATAAAAATATTAATGCATAATGACAATTCAAAAAAATTAAAAACTAACTAACTAACAAAGAAGTGGGGCATTATTAATTTGGATTATAAAGGAAATTATTAACTAATATGTATTTTGCAAAGAAAACTTAGATTGATAAAAATAATAATGAATATAGACAGAATATTCCTCAAAATACTTCTTCGGTGACCGACGTACTATTATGCACATATAGTATAAAAGGTGCTACCATTAATAGCAAATTGTTGATCGAGTTCGTATACTTTTGCACACACTGTTGATAATTGGTATATTTTAAGCCAATTTTTCTTAGTTTAATGTTTTATTATTAATACAAATTAAAAAATAATTAATATATGTGGAAAACCTAAACTCATAAAATCACTAATATGTCGGAGGAAAAAAAAAGTTGGGGTAGCCTACCTTTTCCAAGCCTTTTAGGAATAGTTTTGACTGAACTTTTTTATTTTATTTTTTAGAAAAAGCAACCCATGGATGATAGTGATGTCAATGGTAATAATTTTATTTATTAGATAGATATTGGAAGAGAGAACGAAACAATAAATTACAAATTATTAGTGCAATTGGTAATAATATTAAACAGCAAGGAAAACTAATTTTTATTTTTATGTTTTTTATAAAAGGGCAAATGAGCAAGTGAGAGATTAAAACAGTAAATTGATCCTACACTTACATCTAATTAGAAAGAAAGGGTGTAACAAGTTGATGAAAATAGGTAGGGAGGATCGTGTGTTCGATCTTCCAAAACAGCAATCAGTAGGGATTTGGAACCTAATCATCAGAGCTGATTCTCAAATTCGAATTATCCCAAAGGATGACCGGGTGGAACACACACACAAAAAAAAAAAAAAAAAAAAAAAAAAATTGATGATGAAAAGATTCATTATTTCATAAGTATCAAGGGTGTATTCTAGTCATGTGTTTTACCTATTTAAATTTATATAAACTTATTAATGTGTTTTAATAAACTGTATTTTAGTCATAATTTAAACTTAGGTATTCCTTATTAGAATTTATTTTCTAAAAGTTATAAGATGAACATAACATACCCAAGTTTGAGGGCTCCATCCAAGAATGTACTTCCTCCAAAACCATTACCATTGCAAGGGTGTATGCACCAAAGTTACTTCATGTACAACTTATTCTTACGATACCTTACACTTAAATCCAGCGTTATTCTAACCCCAAAGGTGCCAAGGCACGAATCACAAGAGAATACTAAGTTGAAGTTAACTAAAAAACGAAGTGAAAGACATTCTTTGTGTATTGGAGATTGAGGCTTAATTAATTAATGACAAATTAACATGAAATTTATGGAAGATAGTGACATCCCATAACAACAAATTAAGTGGACCTCTTGAAATCATAAATTTCCATTATGATGAATTCACATGACAAGTACTTGATGATCATCTTCTTGTGAAAATGAAAAGTAGAAACTTCTTGGTCCCTTAATTACAACCGTTTATATTTATGTTTTTTTAATTTCTTCTATACACATGTTTCACCTACTTCTATGATGAATGGATCTTCTATTTTTATATAATTGTATCATTTATTGGTACTATTTCTCCCATATTTGCTTGCTTGTTTGTGCACAACAATGATAATAAAACACTTATAATGGCCTTTGTCCTTGTATTTATTGAGTAATAGGTAATATTTGATTATGAATTTGTAAGATTATAGTGAATGATAAGTGAAAATAGTTCTTAAATCATTGGATCATTTTGAAGTATGGTTGAGTCTTGTTTCGGGGTTTTCTGATGTCCTGCGGGAGAGTTACAATTCCGAGACTGGAACCGGACGCCTGTACCTGCAAAACAACGGAGACTCCTGGTGGTGGGAGCTCCGCCTCCAACGGTCAAGTTAGTACTTGATTAAGGAGTAATTAATGCGGAAATTAAAGTGATTGGGTCTCTCTAGGTGAGAGTGTTTAATGTAGGTAATCTGCTTTGTTAGCGTGATCAGCCTGTTATCTCTGTGTAATTTCTGTAATCTCCCTTAATGAGGATTAAGGGAGGTATTTATAACCTTGGGAAACGTGCTAATCCTAGGTTTAGGTTAACCTAGGGCTGATTGGGCTTCCCTCGGAAGTTGGGCCTGGGTGGAGTATGCCACGTGTCATGACATAATAGGTCCAAGGTGGACGAATAAGCGTGTGCCACGTGGCAAGCCCTAACAGTTCCAACTGGGGGACACTTGGCAGGACCTGATTGGCCCACGTGGCGCATTCCGATTGGTGGGAGCAAAATCCCCTAATCATTTGCCCCTCACAGGTGGCACGTGACTGGTCACGTGTTACCTGTGACAGGTGCCGCACTGTAACAGGCGACGGCCTGCTACAGGTGTCAGTCGGCGAAAGGCCGAGAGATTTTCCCGCCCAAATTTTGAATTCTGAAAGTGACCCTTCGCCTTCTCACTTCGCCTATATAAGGGAGTGTTGACTTCAGTCATTTTCACACTTGAGAACTTTGTGAGAGAACATTCGGACCCCTGAACTTGCTCTGACAATTTGGACCTTTTCTGCCTACCGCCTGTTCTGACAAGCCGCCTGCACAGGATTTTCAGAACTCCATCAACGTCACCCGTTCAGGTAACCGTCGGTTCTCTTACTCTTAATTTTCTCTTTATTTTATTCTTTTTTTTTTTTTGAAATGGCACCACGGAAGCACACGACACGACCTAGGTTAGTGATCAGTCGGTCACCGGG